TGTTAGCTATTCGCATATTACCCATCTCCCCTTCTAGAATCTCAGCTCCCCGGGGCAGTGGCCCAGTCTTGCTGTCTATTGTATAGTCTCAGCGCCTCAGACACGATGCCGCCTGGAAGGCAGGCGACACATAGTTGCTGAATACGTGACTTTGAAGGTGCTGCATCCTAATCAGGGAGAGAACCTTGGGCTGCCATTTTCGCTTCGTCCAGGCTTTATCTTTCTTCACATCCGCCTTCTACCCCTTCGGCAACTCCCCTACGGGCACAAAAGCCCGGCAGTGTTATAGAGATATTAGAAAGAATACTTTATTCCCAAGCCTGTGAATCGGAGGATTGTGCAAAGAAGCTACTCTAATCTAAAGGTCTCCACCGGCGGAACTCACCCGTGACTCCAGCCGGCGGCTGCCACGCCTCCCTGGCAGCCACGCCTCGAGGCCTGCAGGGCCCGGCGGCCACGGCCGGCTGCCACTGCGGCTCCAGGGCCCCTCTGCCAGGGCATCCGCGGCCGCCACCATGGGGGAGGCGCTGGAACCTTTCTTCATCTCTGTGGGGCTGCTGGTGTGCCTGGCCTACCTGGCAAAGTGGGCGAGATGCTCCAAATGTCTCTTCCTGCACTTCTGGAAAGTTTTGCCGAGGTCTTTCCTGAAGTCAATGGGACAGTGGGCAGGTAAAGAGCGGGTCCCTCTCTTGGGTTTTGTCGTTCCTGCTTATTAGTATTTGCGTCTCAAAAAGACATGCTGCATCTTTTCCCTTGGAGCAAAGGTGGAATTCCTTTGTGTGATTTTAAGTGTGTGTGTGCTGTGTGGGTGTGGGAGGTTCTGGAAAGTTCGAATAAAATTAGAACCGGTGGGAGAAGAGGACGTGGGGTCTGAGATGAGCAGGGTGGACAGCGTGCCCGGTGCCCACGTGCTGTCCGCGGGTCACACCGGCTGTTCTTCTTCCTCGTGCGGTTTCTGATGGTACAAATAACAAAAGCCGCAGAAGCCTCTGCGTCCTCCTGTCCTGATTTTCAGAAGCCCGGAGTGTCTCTGTTTTGCCACAGGATGTTTCAAAATTCTGAGACCCAAATAATTTTAATTCACTTTATTAAAGAAAAAAAATCTCTGAGCCCTTTCAGGAAGTGAGGGCAACAGAGGTCCCTGTGGAGGCACCTTTTTAGGATAGAATCTGGGTCTGCGTGTGTCCCAAGCAGGTTGATGGCAGCCTCGCAATGGGACTTATTCCTGGGACTGCTGGAATTTTAGCCCATGACTGGGTTTAAGGTAGAGAGCATGAGGCTATGGTTTCAGCATCTCCTCAAATAAAGTACTAAGGTTCCATTTGTAAGCTGGGCACAAGAAACCCAGTGACTTATAGAAAAGATTTAAGCAGCTTTAGAAACACCATGCAAGCTAAATAGGAGAAATTGTAAACAGTCTCATAGGGCTGCCAAATAAAACACAGGCGACTCAGCTAAATTTGAATTTCAGATAAGCCAGGAGTGATTTTTTAGTATGTGGCATCCTGAATGCTGTGTGGGACGTACTTATATTAAAAAATTATTCATCGTTTACCCAAAAATCAAATTTAACTAGGCATCTTGCATCCCCAATCTTATAATGTTAGCAATGGAAAGAGAAAAATTTACCACATGAAAATCGTTAGGAATGGAAAGTGGGTTTGACCTGGGGTGCGTTCCATTTGCCAGGTGTGAATGCTCCCTCCTCCCGGGCAGCTCGCCTGTCCTGGGAACTGCTGGGTGCCCGAGTGTGAGGGGTCTGGGCCCACACACTCTGCTCCACACAAATGCAAATGCTCACGCCTGAGGGGGCTTAGAACTCTGTGCAAATGCTGCCTGGTGCTGGGCAAAGCCCCTCTAAGAGCACACGCTCCAAAAGTTTCCATGAACCCAGAGAGTAGAGCGTTTGTTGACTCAGAAACCATAATCTTTACCTGTCTCTTGAGTCAGTGTTGAGTGGTGTTGTCATTAGCAGTAGGAAAGTGTCCTTGGGTGTGGGCAGATATTCGGAAGATCATATAGTTCAAATGGGGGGGGG